TTCTGTCTTGGAGTTGCCAATAAAAAAAATTCTCTGATAATTGATCATCAGCCCCCACTCCAGAAGGGAGACTCCCCCACAGCTGGCAGGAGTGTTGTACAGAGGCCAAGGAGATTTGGACAGAGGCTTTGCCAGGCATCCCGGCTCAGTCGATATTCCATGTCAGACTGGCGGCCCTGTCCACATTTCTACACATCTGCCCATGCTTCTATCATGCTCATGCAACAGAGCACCCATAAAATCTGACAAAGAACCTGGGGATGGTGGTGCATGCTAGTAATCCTGACACTCTGGGAGGCTAATCAGGAGGGCTGCAAGTTCCAGCCCAGCCCTGGGCAATTTAGCTAGACCTGTCTCAAAATAAAATTATAAAAAGAGGGCTGGGGATTTAGCTCAGTGGTTTTGCTGACTGCTGCACCCGAGTTCGATCCCCGATACCAAAAAACAACAACAAATAAATAAATAAATAAATTTAAAAAAAGAGCCGGGGGTGCAGCTCAGTGGTAGAGTGCTTGACTAGCCCTGAGTTCAACCTCTAATACCACAATTAAACAAACGACAAGAAATCCCCAAGACACAGAGCTTGGAGAGCTTCCAGGCAGCTGTACACCTGGAGGTAGCTTAGAAGAAAGCTCCCCCCAGAGAGGGCATGGCAACTCTTCAACACCGTGCCTTATGGATTTCTTCATCTGCATCCTTTATCATATCCTTCATAATAAACTAGTAAACATTCTTCCCTGAGTTCTGTGAGCCACTCTTACCAACTACTGGAACTGAAGGACAGGGTCCTGGAATCCCAACTGCTAGCTGTCACAAGTTCCAAAAGTCTCCAACTACAGGAGGCATTTGGAGTGCAGAGGTGAAGTGAGTCCTCAACCTGTAGGACCTGACTATCTCCTGGCAGACAGTCGGTCGTGAACTAGACTAGAGGACGCACAGCTGGTATCTGGTACAGAATGGACCTGCTGGGAAGAGACACTGCCACACATTTCAGGACCCCAGACGAGATCTGTGTTATGAGTGTACCGCAGGAGAAATGGAAACTGAGTTTAGGTTTTGTTTCCCTCTTTATCATCAGACCTGATTTCAGGTTTTATGACTCCAGATCAGTCACTTAACCTCTCAGAGCCTCAGTTTCCTCAAGGGTATTAATTATCTCAGATGCTATGGAAGGATTAAACATGATTATATACGAAATGGTAAGTGTTAAATGTGGCACCCAGAAGGTGCTCAGCAAAAATAAGCAACTTTCATTGGTTACACTAAAGCTGGGACTTTCTCTTCCAGTAACAGAACTGGCACTGTGCTACCCCTTGACGCAGGATTACTCCCCGTGCGAACAATAACAAAACCAGATGAATTGTATGAGGGCAATTCCTTTCAGGCACTGGGTGGGCAGCACCAGACTGCAATGACAAAGGGAAGGGAAATGCAGAAGTGAGCCCAGGACAGCATGACTCTTATCAAGGGGGACGTTCCCACTGCACCTGTGGCACAGCAACTGGAGTCTGACCCCAAAGGAAGGTCCTGTGGAGCTGAGCCCAGGGCAGGAAGATAGCTAAACTCTGTGGAATGGTGCAGGATGGGGAAGAGGAAGGGACAGAAGTCTGCATGGTGGAGTTGGGCTACACCCTCCATGGTGAGCAGCTGCTGTGGAGCTAAGAGTACCACAAAGATCCATGAAGCCTAGCGAGCAGGGCTGGAGGGCTCTGGAGTTCTGGTCAGGTGAGACAGCAGAAAGCCTACACCGTGGAGTAAGGACTATGCACCTTAGAGCAAAGCTTATTTTGGATCTGCCATAACAAGAAGCATGGCAAGGCCACCATGCCTACCACAGCCCACAGCCCCATTACAGAGCCCTAACGGAGTAAGGAGGGCAATTATGAGGCAGGTGGGAGCAGCAGCAAAAAAGCAAAGGAATGGTTCCATACAGAGGAACAATCAGGTAAGTAAATATTTTGAGGATAACAAGATTGAAGTTTCCTCCTGTCAGACAAGGGAGTTAGAAATATACAAAGGGAGAAAAATAGGAAGAGCCCTAGGGTGTGGACTGGAACTTGAGAGATTGCTATAAATGCATGGTTTTTTAATAATCACTTCAATGTTTATACAGATACAAAATAAATACTGATCCATGAACAGGGCCTGGGAGCATTGCCCCCCAACCCCGGCAACAATCACCCCATCCATCTGCTGTCTTATTTCTAAACACCATTCTACATTAGAAGGAACCAGCCTTCTTGGCAAAACAGTCTCAAGTCTCAGGTCCAGTTCAGGGGAAACCTTAAGCTGTTTCTAGGACATACTGTGCCCACAAAAAAGGAAGTGCTCTATGAAGGATGAGGATATGAAAAAGAACAAAGACAGCCTAAAAGGGCTCCTACTGACCAAACCTAGGACAATTTAATTAATGAAGCATGATTAGATACTGATACAAATAAACTTCAGGTTCCATCCTTAGTATCACAAAGACAGACAGACAAACAAACTGAAAGTCTGATAAGGAAGAGGGTATTTAATAGTAACAATGTAGTCTCCCCTAAAACTTATTAATTATACAGGGAAAAAGCAACTTCACTGTGGAGAAGTCTTGCAGACATCTCCTTAATCAAATGATTGGTTTTTTTTTGGTATCGCGGATCAAACTCAGGACCTTGTGCTTGCAAGGCAGGTGCCGGAACCACTGAGCTAAATCCCCGGCCCAACCAAATGATTGTTCAACACAAAACCCCAAGCCACAGGAAAGGGCTGTGACAAATGAGTTCTGTGGTAATCCTGCCAAAGATGTAACTTGAATCTAAACATGAGCGTCAGACAAACCCAAATTGAGAGCCATTTACAAAATCCTGGTCTATAATCTTCACAAGTATCAAGATCATAAAAGTCAAAAACGGAGAAAATATTTCAGTTTGAAGATTAAAAGATATGGTATGATTTGGAACTGGATCCTTTCAGTACAAAGGACATTGATGGGGCAATCAGATCTCAGTTTCCTCATCTGTAAACCATAAGGTTAAAGAGATTTTAATACTGAATGTAATAGTATTCATTTTTTGGAAAGTATTTTGATTTTTCTGAAATACTATGTAGCCTAGGCTGCCCTGGAATTTAAAATGATCCTCCTGCCTCAGCTGAGATTGCATACACATCCACCACACCCAGAGAGAGCTAACAGTATTTCAATATACAAAATGATCTCTACTGATATTCTAAGCAGGCCAATAAAAAAATTACCATAGAATCATAGCTACCTAAAGGCTTTACCATAACCAAAATGAGCTTAAACTTCAAGGGAATTTTTTCTTGGGAGTAGGGGGAACTAGGGATTGAATCCAGGGCCTCTGCACTGAGGTACATCCTCCACCTTTTATTTTAATTTTTATTTATTTAATTTTTATTTTTGGTACTGTGGATCGAACTCAGGACCTTGGGCTTTCGAGGCAGGTGGCGGAACCAATGAGCTAAATCCTCAGCTCTCCTTTTATTTTATTTTGAGATAGTGGTCTCACTAAATTGCCCAGGCTAGGTTCGAATTTGCATTCCTCCTGCCTCAGTCTCCCAGAATACTGGGATTACAGACATGTGATACCATGCTCAATTTACCAGAAAATATTTGTTTTGTTTTTCTTTTGGTACCAGGGATCGAACTCGGCTCCTCACGCTTGCAAGACAGGCGGTGAAACCACTGAGCTAAATCCCTGGCTACCAGAAAATATTTAAAGGAAAAAGTTAATCAGTCCATCAACAATATATCTATACAACAGGATACTCTCTAGCTATGTAAAGTGAATGGAAAGATGTCAAGCTTTTGTCTAATAGAAGGAAAATTTAGCCCAGTATATGTAACATATTCCCTTTTATCTGTATGTGTGCATGTATGTATGTTGTTGTTTTCTGGGGGGGTTTTTTTTGCTACCGGGAATCAAACTCAGGACCTTCCGCTTGTGAGGCAGGTGGCAGCACCACTGAGCTAAATCCCCGGCCCTGCATGTATGTATGTTCAACACAGCCAGATATGTGGGTCTACATGTGCAGAGAAAATTTCTAAAGGACATAGTATAAGAATTTGTTAATAATGATTAGTTCTGGGTAGGGGTAGTGGGAGGGGCAGGGGAAAGGAAAAATGATGAGAAATGGAAAAAATGGAAATAAAGTCTTTGTAAATAGGGAAGGGTGGAGGGGGTGAAGGGAGGGCTAGGAATGGAGAAAAAATAAAAACCAAGATGCATCATGTAAAGGTACAATTCCCAATGAGAAATGCAATTGTGTTGTATACCTACAATGTACCAATAAAAGAATTTAATAAAGTGCAAAAAAAAAAAATTCCTATCAATAATGATTAGTTCTGGGAAACAGGAGTAATCAAAAGGGAGCCGGACACATTACTCTTATTCTTTTACTCTTGTATACTCAATGTCCACCAAGAAGTATTTTAAAAAATTAAATTTTCCTAGTAACATTAAGTACTTTTAGCTCCAGATCTTATTTTCTGGCTAGCATTCCCAATCCCTTGGAAAAATGACTGATTGTACACACGGATTAGAGCAGGTACGAGGAGCACTGTGGACACTTCCTTTACCAGGGAGGAAAGAAGCACCCAAAACTAATGCAGGCGTGTAAAGAGGACAAAGAGGCTAGTGTGCTGGGGCCTTTGCTGGCCAAATCTGGGACAATCTGAACATCAAAAAGAATCACTGTTACTAAAACACATCAAGAAAACCAAGGAGAGACTGCTGGAAGCAGCAGGAAAGCAGCTAATGATGGAAGAGGAAGAAAGAACCCAGCAGGCTCCTGAGATGCTGTGACACCTACTTATTCCTCTGGAAAATAATCATGTGAGTGTTCATTTTATAATTATTTATTAGATAGCATGTGTCTGTGGTATGGAATTTTACATGTACACACTGTATTTAAAAAATGTAAGGTTCCAGAGAGAATAGAGAGAAAAAAGAGGTCATTAAAAATAAGAATCTTTAGAAAGAAAATTGTAGTTATTTTACCTGCATGAGTATGTAGGCTCTCCTACTTTAAAAACACGACCACAAAGATGAGAAGGTTTGTTCGCTTGTTCAAGTTTTGGAAATCCAAATTCAGGATCTTCACCACAAAGGTACCACTCCATTGGCCCCAACAAAACATGCTGGGCCAGCATGTCCTCTTTCTGTGGGAAAGGGTTGGGACCCCTACAGTAGATTCTGGGTACATAGTGGGCTAGATGCTGATATACTTCTCTAGTGAGGTCAGTTGCTTGCAGCCATTTCTTTAAAAAAAGAAAAAAAAGTTTAAACAATGTCAGTAAACTGCTGATTTGAACAATTATCCCCAGCTTTCTTTTTAGGTACAAAAACAATGATAGGACAGTCATATATTGTTTATGACAGCACTGTATGTTAGAAATTTCATCTATTAAAAAACCAAGTATTTTAGAATTCTACTTTAAAGTATAAGGGAAATTAAAATGAAACAAACACTCCCCTCTTCATGACTCTCAAAGAAACCATCTCTAGGCCCTACAGGAAAACTGCAAGAAACTCCTCTGTCAGAACCGGCCTTGGCGCCCAGCCGACTTCTCCTCTCTACTTAGGATCAAAGGTTGTTCTAGGAGGATACGGGCTCTCACGTCAGTGTGCCTGACACGAGAGCGCCCATGCAGTGAACACAAGGAGCAAACACACCAGCTACAGTTCTCACTAATTAATAAATGAGTGGTCTCATTTATTAAGGTGCACATCGGAGCACAGGTCTCTGCCCTGTCCATTATGCCTTCTTTACCTGATCCACCTATTTCTCAGCCCTTTCCCCTTTGCTCTCCCTACTACAAACAGAAACCGAAAAAGCCGCTTTTCTCTGTCCCCTAATCCAGCTTATTAGACATCTCACAAATACCAAGCCAATATATTCAAAATTGAACTCAGGATACCCTCTCCCATGAAAATCTGTTATTTTTCTCATTTCCCTAGTTTGGATTTACCTAGGTATCCAAACCAGAGAAACCAGAAAATCTTCATTTTCTCTCACTCCAATATTCAATCAGTCATAACGTCTTCTCCATTAGGTTCCCTAAATAGCCCTTGAATCCATCCCTTTCTTTCTCCACTGTCCTAGTCCAAACCCTTTGCCCCATCACCAGGAGGAGCACAACAATGTTCTAACCACTATCCCCACTAGCCCTGCTCCTCTGCAACCCATTTTCTAACTTCACCAATTTTTGCAAAATACCAATCTGATCATGTCATTTAACTTCCCATTGCATTTAAGACCAACCCCTGACATTCCTTACAAAGCCTTCAGTTTCATCCTGTCTCCAATCTTCTCCCCGTCTCTGTCTCATACCTCTCTCCTCTGCTTCACAAAGCTATTTTCCGGATCTCAAGTTATTTCACTTTCTCTAAGATGTCTTCTCAGTCCATTCCCCACACGTACATCCCTTCCCCATATCCCCAGGTCTAAAATGGGATATGGCCTCAGTGAACATTTAGTAAAACTGAATGACCCTAAGTACATTTATACTACTTACTGTAATATAACCTTGACATTTCAGAAAGATGCTCCATGAGGTTTTTTCTTTTTGGTTTTTTGAGACAGGGTCTCATTGTGTAGGTCAGGCTGGCCTTGAACTCACTACGTATCCCAGGCTGGCCTCGAACTTGGGGTGATTCTCCTGCCTCAGCCTCCCAAGTGCTGGGATTACAGGGGTGCACTACCACACCCGGCCTCCACAGGACATTAATGAAAGCAGAGGAAGGGAGATCCAGACCTAGAGCCTGGATCAGGTATCAGTCTCTGAAAACTAACCCTAAAAAGCTCTAGAAAGGCACCCTTCAAACCACTTCCCTTCTCTTCCCTGTTTCTTTCTGTCTTCCTTTATTCTGTCATTTATCTGTCTCCTTTGCCATTTGTGTTTACTTATTTGTTCGCCATACTGCTTTGTGTAATGTGTAAGTCATTTTGACTCTAAATAAAAATATAAAATCAGAAAACATGAAATAAAACAACTTTTTAAAAAAATGCAATTAACTGAACTGCTAACACAACTAACAGATCCAATGTTTACCTATGAATTACCTAAATTCCAATTACACCCATGTTTAAAAAAATATGGTCAAGTTAACACCTAGTGCCATAAGTCAACGTAAGGTCTTCATTTTAACTATTACTTGTATAATCTGCACTTCCTTCCTTCTAAAAATAACATGTAGAGATTTTAAATATTCATGAGGTGGGATATAGAAACATTCTAATTGATTTCATGTTATTGAAGAACTTTTACTAAAAATCTAAAAATTTTGTTCCTAAGAGACCAAATGGAAGGTTATAATCAAATACAGTGAGTTTCCATCCTAAGGTAAAACTGTATTTTCCAAACATTGTTATCTTTTGTGTTTGCCTTATGTAAGTAGGAAAGAGGCTAAATTTTGCGAGACAACCCCAAGATTTTAAGGATTTGCTCCCTTCAGTGGCTCCAAATCAAAACTGTGTATGGGTGCATGAATGTATGCACATACTTTCACCTCAGTATCATAAAACACAGAAGTGGTTTTTTTCGTTTCGTTTTGTTTTTGAGACAGGGTCTCTTTATGTATGAAAAGGGTCTCTTTATGGCCTTGAACTCACTATGTAGCCCAGACTGGTCTCAAACCTGGGATGATCCTCCTGCCTCAGCCTCCCGAATGGTAGGATTACAAGCATGTGTCCCCATGCCTAAGATGTTTTTTTAAAGTAGAGGGCAGTGCTTGCTTCAGAAGCACATTTACTGAAGTAGAAGGCAAAAAGTTACCAACAAGCAAACTCAGACTCTTACTCTGAGCTAAAAGTTTTGTTGGCTGCATCCGAATGTCCAATTTCTTACCCACTGTCAGAGCAAACCAAAGTACGAATAAAGGTAATCAAATTATCCTAAGCAATTTATTCTTTGTGGATAAAAATTAAGCAATAAGTCTGAAAGAATTCAGACAATTTTTTTTTGGTACCGGGGATCGAACTCGGGTTCTTGCGCTTGCGAGGAGGCAGGTGGCAGAACCACTAAGCTAAATCCCAGGCCCTTAAATTCAGGCAATTCTAATTTACAACACAAAAGGCTTTATTTAGAAAGCATTTTTGTGCCTTGCAAGCACAAGGACCCGGGTTCGATCCCTGGTACCAAAAAATAAATAAAAATAAAATTTAAAAAGCATCTTTTTTTTATATCATATGTTCCCATTTCTTGTAAAATTTAATCTTTGTAGAATTTTAGTCTGGGAAGAATAAAAACCTTACTAAAATAAATTATGTAGATTATGTAGTCTTGGGGCTCCAGCAATGGACAGGATAAACATCTTTAGATTTCCTTTAGTAAAAACATTTGGAAGCTAATATTAGCTTCTGGTTAAGAAAAAAATATCAGCCACCTCACATAAAACACATTTTTGGTAAAACAAGTATTCATTTTAAATATCATTTTATTGTATATTGTAATAAAAAAAGACTTCAAAATCTAGTTTTAGAAAGGAAGACATATGTTCCTTATCTTTAAAAAGTTTACTACCAGAGCTGGGTGTGTAGCTCACTGGTAAAGTGCCTGCCTAGTGTGCGCAAAGCCCTGAGTTCAATCCCTAGCACTGCCAAAAAAACAAAAAAAAAGGCGCAGTGTGCGCGCGCGCGCGTGCGCGCGCGTGCGTGCGTGCGTGTGTGTGTGTGTATGTGTGTTAATTACCATTAAGTGAGAAATCTAACAGACCTGGGCTCTATTATGGGCACCTTCGCCTGATTAAACTCAAGACTTTGGACACAAAGTAAGAAAACTTTGTAACCGCCTTTTGAATAATGGTTCATGCATTTCTCAAAGAAAATCTAGAGCTTTTCCTCTTTAGTTCCACTGTTATATGTGGACTGTAACTATTTCTTCAACATGAAAAAACTACCGAGATTTCTAATTTGGATGCATTTTAATTTGTCCTTATTTCAGACACCTGTAGCTGTCACATCCACGTGCACTAGAGTAGTAAGGATTTATAATCTTATACATAAAATCACTCATAAGGGAAGTAAAGGAACTGTCAACTCATTCCACTAAAGTAAACATGCTATGACAACGTTTCCAGGAGCTTTCCTTTTATTGAATGCCAAATTTATGCCTTGGGATACAGAGCAAGAACAATAAACTCAAAAATGGGTGAATTTCTAGAGGTTAGCCTTTTTACTGTAGCATCGAATTATATTACTCTATGGTGAATTAAAATTGCATCCTCTAACACAGTTGGTTTTGCTTTCCAACAAGGATAAGCACCGTGTAAGTTAATCATAAAACAACACTGGTGCTCCAACGGAGTTTTGGGAACTACATTAAAATTTTTAAATAAAGGCCGGGGATTTAGTTCAGTGGTTTCGAGGCCTGCTGCGCAAGCTCAAGGACCTGAGTTTGATCCCCAGTACCAAAAAAAAAAATTTTTAAACCAATTCTACTAAGCGCTCTACAAATGAAGAAGAGTATTTACAACTAAAAACAATAAATACAGAAACTCAGTAATAAAAGACAAAAAGCCTTAATGAAAAATGGGCAAAAAAGATACACAAATGACCAATAAATTCAACAAAAAAATTCAACACCATAAACCACCAGTGAAATGGCAACCAAAATCCTGGGAAAGCACCCCACACACTATAGAACAGCTACGTTCAAAACACAAATGCTGGCAAGGATGTGAAGACACCAGAACACTCACACACTACGGTAGAAATGTGAAATGAGGCAATCGCTGTGGAAAACAGTCTGGCAGTTCCTCAAAAGAGTTATTAACACATGACCCAGCAATTCTATTCCTAGGTACACAGCCAAGAGAAATAAAAGTGTCCACACAAAAATCTGTATACAAATGTTCATAGCAGCATGGTTCATATATCCAAAAAAGGAGAAACAACCCAAATATCTATCAATTAATGAATGGGTTAAACGTGCTTTAGCCACACAATGGGTTATCATTTGGCAATAAAAAACAAACGAAGAGTTGACACATGGCACAACATGGATGAACCTTGAAAACATTCTGCTGAAAGAAGCCAGTCACAAAAGACAATCCATTGTACAATTCCAATTTCTATGAAATGTCCACAACAGACAAATCTATGGAGACAGAGAACAGATTAGTGACTTAGGGTTTGGGAGCTTAAAATAAAAAAGGAGAGGTGCAACTGTATACACAATTTCATATTCGGGGTGATCAAAATATTCTAAAGTTGACTAGTAACATAAAGTTACAGGACTCTGTGAAGACACTAAAGACTACTGACTCGTACATGGTACGAGTTATTTTCCAAAATACTGTTTAAATTTTTAAAGCCAAAAATAACCTACACAGCCTTACAACTTTAAATAAAACTATGAAGGGTCAGGGATTTAGCTCAGTGGTTCCGCTGCCTGCCTCACAAGCACAAGGTCCTGAGTTCAATCCCCAGTATAAATAAATAAATAAATAAATTAATTAATTAAAAAAAACTATGAAGACTCAAGTCCAAATTAATAATTTTTTTTTGTATTTCCCTTAATTTTTCCCACAATGTCTGCTTGAGAATTTGCACAAAAACTAAGAGCGTAAGCCAGGTGTGATCATGCACAACTGTAATCCTAGCACTCTGGGAGGCTAAGGCAGGAAGACTGCAAGTTTGAGCACAGTCTGGGCAACTTAGCAATTCAATTCAGCAAGGCCCATCTCGAAACTTTAAAAAAAGCTGAGGATGTAGCTCAATGCAAAAGCCCTGGGTTCAATACTCACCACCGGGGGGGGGGGGGGGAACTTTCCTCAGGAGCCTCAACAAAGTAGAGAAGCTCTAACCACTGAACAGCCTGACTTTCAGAAAATGGATAATGGAAGATCCAGCCTGTATCACTGGGCCAACAGACATAAAATTCAGTGAGAAAAAATGCTACTTTAAGATAAACAGATTCAACATCTCTTACTGTAGACACACATAGTGAATAGCTGTTATTATTTTCCTGTTTACTGGTAGCATGACTTTCATTTTCTTCTTCCTATCTCTGATAAATGAAGGCAGATGGGGCTGAAAATCCTTGGGTTGTGCAATAGTTAACTTGATTATAAATGAAAACAGACTTAGACTAAACAAGTAAATTAGTCTTTTAAAAAATACAACAAAACATGGCAAAGACTCATCACTCAACAATGTATTTCTCTGAACTTTTCACCTCTACTCCTGCCATTCATTTCCACTTGAACTGCACCAATTCACTCAAAATTACTCCCTGACCAACAACTCCAGAGCCCCCACCCACATTTTGTGGGGCACTTTGGGAATGCTGACTGGTTTAATGATTTCTCCTAGTGGAGGTTCTAGAGGTGGGGTTGGAGTTGTTTTGGTCCATTCCTAATCACCGCGGACATCTGTTTTAATGGGTGTTCCCTGCCCTTACTGGGGAAAAGACCCCACTGAATTTATTAAAGTAATCATTTTACAATTCTACAACTTATACTAGCATATGTATATCACATACTGTGTTTGGATGGTTTAAGCGTGGGGGCCTAATTGCTGTTACCATGCTGTGATCAACTCTCACTCTGGCTGATAAGGTTGCATCGTTGACCAAAGCTGCTCTCTCAAAGTTATGTAACGTTTGTTCTCCATCCAACTTTACACAACTCCTAGAAAAACTGTTTAAATTTTTCAGCCTCCACTCCTACTTCATGCTCTATTTTCGTGTTGAGACATCACTTTCCACACATGCATCAACACAGTGCACTAACTCAACCAGTGCAAAAATAGAAGAAAAAAATAAGCACTAAAGGGGTAAATGGAGGGACAGTGTTGTTAGCACCCTTGGGGCCTCGGGCAGTGTCAGAAACAAAGTCGGGACCTCGATAGGGCAGCACGCCTGCCTCAGATGAAGACGCACTGACTGCTCGGCTCATCCCAGAAAATGGAATCAGGAAGGTAAAGCGGGTGACTACCCCGAAAACACTAGGAGGAGTCTCTTTCCCTGCCCTCTTCCAAGCGCTGGTCTGAAGGGCAAAGGCCTATGTGTCGGGGATTTCATAGAGCGTGCGGGGAAGAGGGAAGAATGCCAGCGCTGCGGGTTCGCCAGGCAGATGGGAAGGGGGCTGGGGCACGGGACAGCTCCTTCGGGGGATCCTGGATCGGTGACCTCCCCGGCGGCTTTCTCGAGGACCCGGCCCGTACCCACGCGAGCGCTGGTGGCCCTCAGGTCTCCAGGAGCCGGTTCTCTCGGGGCGTGCCCGCCCGGCCCCGCCACTCACCCCCGCCGTCTCCTCGGCCGAACATTCCAGAAAAGTGCGATCGAGGCCCTGCACCTCGGGCTCCAGCTCTGACGCCATCTTCCCTGCTGTTCCTCGTCCTCGGTTCCAGCGCTCCCGCAGCCTGGGGGCGGCAGCCTGGCCTCCGCCCCAGCAGCCGCGACGGTCACCCGTACACCGGGCCGTCAGTCCCGGGCCGTCCTCGCGCTGTGCTAGGAGCAGGAGAGAAGTGAAGGGGGACGAGAACTCGCGGGAGTGACGGCGGCCTCCCGCGATCGCCGCTGGGCTCAGCGCCCAGGAGCCAAGTCACTGCCTCGTCCCTGACCCAGGGAAGGACACAGAGAGCCCCAGGCCTGACACTCAACTAGCCACTACCGCGTCCCACGCCGCGAAAGGGGCAAAAATACCCAGGAGCGAAGCAGAGTATGCTGGGTACTGTAGTCGTTGCGGCACGCGAGGGCGTGGCGCCCTTAGTAGCTCCCCGGGCATCATGGGAGTTGTAGTCCATCTCCTAGCTGGAGTCCGGAAAGGGCGGGAAACGGGGCGGGACTTTTCTGCACACCTATAATCCTGGCCAAGGACTGGAGGAAAGAATCCCCCACCAAGGAGAGAGGCAGAAGAGCAAGATCAGTCTGAGAACTGTAGTTTCATTTCCCCAATACCATTTATTCATTTTTGTATCTGCAGCTCGGTAGATACTCAAGTTCTTGTCGAAGTCTGGCATGTGGCAGGCCCTCAATGCCTGGCAAAGCAGTGAATTAGTTACATTCTATTTCTGTAGTTCTAATGCCCTGTCATCCATTATACCCTCATACATATACTAGTAACCAAAGTGAATATTACCCAAATTTTTTTAACGTTTTCAAACATATTTGTAGTGGGGCATGGTGGTGCATGCCTATAATCCTAGAACTCAGGAGGCTGAGGCAGTAGGATTGCTGTGAGTTCGAGGCCAGCCTGGGCTACATAGTGAGTTCAAGGCCAGCCTGTAGTTCAGGGAGTCCTTGTCTCAAAAAAACAGAAAAATAAATTTAAAAAAATTTTTAAATTTAGTAAGTCATTTATTTATACCCACTTGTTAGAATATATTACAAATCTTCCTGTAAAGGAAAAGATGTTTAACAAGCCAATTTAATAAAGATTTACTCTTTTTTTGTTTTTATTTTCTTGAGATGGAGTCTTCCTATGTAGCTCAGGCTGGCCTTGAACTCACAACGATCCTCCTGCCTCAGCCTCCCTAGTCCTGGGATTACAGGCATGCACCACCATACTCAGCTAAGATTTACTTTTCTTTTTTTTAAGATTTACTCTTGCTAGGACCATTTTATAGAAATACACAATCATTGTTAGACTAGGTGCAAAAAAAAAAAAAAAACAACTACATTTGGTTAAAGCTAATTAGACTCTTTTTGACTGACAGGTGGGCGACTGGGCTTCCTAGCACACAAGTTTTCAATTTCTTCAGAGTTTTTCAGCAAACTTACACATTTTATCAGATATGCTAATTTATTCCCAGAAGGAAGTTGTGAATTATATACAGAAAAAACAAGTTCTTACCCAGACTAGGTTTGGGACATGTCTGTGTTTTTTTTTACACTTGATCTTAGCCAAAAGGCTGAGAAGTGATGTCTGTGGGGTTTTTTTGTTTTGTTTTTTTACCGTAGTTTTATCCAAGTTTAAAATAAGAAATAAAAAATTATTTGTAACTGCACAGTCCAATTGAACCATATCATCACTTTAAAAAATAAATCATCTATGTATAATATCAGAAACTCAAAGCCGATAAGAATATCTTTAAAAAGGGAAATCGAGTACTTCCCATTCCTCTTATTCCCAAACCCCTCTCCACTCCAAAAATCATTTTAACACTTTATGATTCTGTCCAGAAAAATATATATGCACATATCTGCACAGATCCATGTAATGTGAAATCTTGAAGATTATTCTATGTATTACTTTCTTTCTTGACCAACTTTCTCACACTGATCCACTTCCTGGCTAGAATCAACCTGGAGGAAAACTGATTGTCACAACCTGGAAGCAATGACTGTGTCTCTTGAGATCCTAACAGTGGATTTAAGCCATTAAAATAGATTGTAATGGCTGGGGATTTAGCTCAGTGGTTCCACCTCCTACCTCGCAAATGCAAGGAGCTGAGTTTGATCCCCGGTACCAAAAAAACAAAAATCAAACAAAAAAAATAGATTGTAAAGAAAATTTCTGCTCTTAACATTATTTTATTCCTTCTATTACTTTTAGACTGATTTTAATGTTCTTTTGCTAAGTCCTTGAGTTGTATACTTAAGTTATTGATCTTTCTCTTTTTTTCCCCAATATGTACATCTAAGGCAGTAGTTTTCAAACTTGAACATAAATAATATGTTGACAAAACACAGATTTTCGGGCCCCAGAAGTCAGAATTTCTGAGTCACTGGGTTTTGGTTAGCCCCTGAAATTTGCATTTCTCTCACATTCCCTGGCCATTCTGCTGGCATGAGGAGCAACATTGAGACCCACAGATTTATCATACAATACATATCGCATTGTGTACTGCTCTAACTGCATTCAGCACGCTTTGGTACATAGCATTTTCATTATCATTCATTTAAAAATATTTTCTCATTTTATTGTGATTTGTTCTTTGACACATGTAGTGTGGTTTTTTTGTGTTTTTTTTTTTGTACCGGGGATTGAACTCGGGCCCTTGCGCTTGCGCAGCAGGTGGCGAAACCACTGAGCTAAATCCCCGGCCACATGTAGTGTGTTTTTAAATTTCCAAATGCATATAACTTTATTGAGATCTTTTGTCACTGATTTCTCATTACAGTATTCTACTGTCTGGATTTTGTGATGCTCATGGTATTTGTCAGCTTTTATAATTTTATACTCTCTATGTAGTTAGACTGACCTTGAACTCACTATGTAGCCCAGGCTGGGCTCAAACATGCAGTGATCCTCCTGCCTCAGCCTCCCAAATACTGGGATTACAGGCATGTGCCACTATGCTCAGCTCTTCCTCTAGAATTTTGAAGGCATTTCTAAATACGTAGTCTTCCAGCTTCTAGTATTGCTATTAAGAAATCTAAAACCACTTTGACTTGTCATCTTATATTTCTGGTCTATTTTTCTATCTCTGGAAACCTAAATGATCTTCTTTTCATCCCTAAGATCCTGAAATTTCATAATGATGACTTGATGTAGATTGATTTCCATCCATTTGTTCTGGGTACTAAGTAGCCCCTTTCAGTTGCAAAACTTACATCTTTAAGGTTTGGGGAATTTTAAAGAAATAACTTTTCATTTATTTATTTTTCTTTTTTTAAAATAAATTTTATTTTATTTTATCTCGATCCCCTCTCAAGCCCTCTCCCCTCCCTATGAAGAGAAGAGTTGTTTCCATTTTCCTCTTCTATTTTCACTGCTTTTCTTGTCCCTTCCTTACTTTCTCCCTCCCTCCTCCCTGTTCCCCTTCCCATTTGAATGCTTTTTTCCCATTTCCCAGCATTTATTATAGATTTCAGTCCTTATGTCCACTTTCAGTTTCTCACAGTAGAGAAACAATGCGGTAAAACATGTGTGTCTGATTTATTTCACTTAAGAGTATGGTCTCAAACTGCATCCATTTAGCTATAAATGTCTGAAGCTTGTCCTTCTTTATGCCAGAGTAGTACTCCATTTAATTAAAAAACCACATCTTCTTTATCCACCTGTTGGTTGATGGGCTGTTTCCAAGATTTAGCTGTTACACATTGTGCTGCTATAAACATGGGTGTGCATATACCACTGTGGTATGATGTTTTTAATTCTTTCAGGAGGATACCAAGAAGAGATATAACTGGGTCAAATGGAACTTCTAGTTTTAGTTTTTTGAGGTGTCTCCACACTGATTTCCACAATGGTTGCACCAGTCTACACTCCCACCAACAGCGGAGAAGAGTTCTTTTTTCCCCGCAGCCCCTCCAGCATTTGTTATTGGTTGATTTTTTGATAGCAGCCAAGAAATAACTTTTTTTTTTAAGAAATAACTTTTTATAAATAGCATTTTGCCTACTTTTCTCTTTTCTGTCTTCCTGGAACTCCTGGGCTAATCTTTTACTTTTCTTATCTTTTCTTTCTTATTTTCATCTATTGGCTTTTATTGTTCTTTCTGGGTGATTTCCTAGACTTTATCTTTAATCCTTTAAATGAGTGTTTCATTTCTTCTATTTTTAATTTCCAAGTGCTCAGTTTTTTCCTTGACTATTCTCATTTAAAAAACATATTGCTGGGGGTCGGGGATTTAGCTCAGTGGTTCCGGCGCCTGCCTTGAAAGCGCAAAGTCCTGAGTTTGATCCTCGGTACCAAAAAAACCAAAAACAACAACAACAACAACAACAACAACAAAACATATTGCTGGGGCTGGGGATTTAGCTCAGTGGCACCACGTTGGCCTTGTAAGTAAGTGCAAGGTCATGAGTTCAATCCCCAGTACCAAAAAAAAAAAAAAAAAAGAACATATTGTTCTTTTGTGCTTTCAGTATGTTATCTCTACAAGGATTTCAAATATGAGTGGGATTTTTTGTTATTATTGTTAAAGTTTTCTTCTCTCCTAGTTTCTGCTTTGTCCTGGTTTCTTTTTTTTCCTCTGTTGGTTTTAGTCTCTATTTTTTGCAAGAGGCTGTAATTGGTGATTATTGGCTCATTTTTAAGTGTGGGAAACTACAAGCCTGCTGAGATGCTCTGAAACCAGGGGTTGTGGAATGTGCCATAGGAGGTCTGCCTGGGTGTTACATTGGCCAACCTATGGTGCCAATATCATTAAGCCTTTCCTCTTAGTCTAGTCAGATTTCTCCAGGAAGACCCTTGGTCTTTTGCCTGGGTGATAGAACTGTCCAGTCTTTTCTGATTGTCAAAGGAGCTGTCCAATACGGCGCCCACTGTCAGACCCCGCAGGAACACAATTCCCAACCTCCCAACCTGGATCAATTAATCACACTTATTGTAGAGTTTTTTTTTTTTTTTTTGACAATCTCACTTTGTAGTTCAGGCTGGCCCGGAATTCTCTACGTAGCCCAGGCTGGCCTTGAACTCATGGGGATCCTCCAGCCTCAGCCTGCCAAGTTCTGGAATTATAGATGTGTACCACCATACCTGGTTCCCGCTGGTCCTTATGTGCTCTATCAGTCCATTAGTAGCTGATGCCCAAGGAGACACCTTAGGGTGTACCTGGTGTTGCTCCCCACAGTGAGGAACAGTCTCTGTGCTGTTGAGAGCTGAGCTTTGACCAGCAGGAGCCAACATGAAAAGAAACAGGTTCAAAGCACCTACGCTAAAAAGAGAAGATTCTTTATGTGATTTTGTGTACAGAACTTATGTTGAAGGTCATATTTAGTATTTCCCGGGCCTCCGTTCTCCCCTTCATGATTTGACTCCCAGATAGTTAGTTTATCATTTAT